CTTAAATGTTTTATCTCGAGTTTGCCATAGAACAAGTAGAGTCTTAACGTAATCTTGGTAATTGTAGACATAGTAACCAAGACAACACACTCATTCGAGCCTAGGCCAAATATTAAGTGGATCCATGGGCTCATCTATAAATAAGAAATATAGTACACATGCACGGAGTGCTTGCCTCTATAGTGTTAGACAAAAACACCAGGTTCACCTCACACGTTAAGAAGGGTCTTCAGAAGGCTTTCGAAAAGCAACTAAGATTTAGCACAACTTTCTACCCAAAAACATAAGGGCAAGTTACAAAATTGAACTACCACCCAACCCTCGTTGTCGTGCATAATGAGTTCCACGTATCCATGTTGTGAAGGTACATGCCAGACCCTACACATGTGATAAGACATGAAACGCTTCATCTCCGAGAAGACCTGAATTACGAGGAGAAACCTACCAGAATTTTGACTTCATGACACAAGGCGTTGACATAACAAAGTGTTTCCCTTGATAAAAGTCTCATGGGATACCTCCAATGAGGAGGCAACTTGGGAATGAGAAGAATACCCAAGGAGCTATTTCGAACTTCTTTAAGAGATGCCAACTTTAGGGGACGAAAGTTTCTAGGGTAGGGGAAGAATTTGTAGCATCAGAAGAAAAGGAAGAAAAAAAAAAAATTATCAATAGAGGGGTAAATAGGTAATTTTGCCCCTCCACTTTAGGGTCCAAGTGGAACCCTAGGAAAGGGGCTGCATGAAAAGAAATAGATAGAGAGAGTGTAGAGAACCTACAAAGGGGAGGAAGAATGTATGGCACGAAGATTTGGGTGGCCAGAGTCCCATTTCCCGTCAAGAAATTGAGAAAAATAGCAAGGTAATATCTTGAGCGTTTTTATTAGATCTACGATTTTCCTTTGTGAATCAACATCTAAAATCTTGATATGTTCATCCAGGGAATTCTCCAATTAGATTTCGTGAAGGACTTGGCCGAAATTGTGACTGGAAACTGTTGATCCAAGAGTTGTTTCCTAGGACAGTAAGATGAACGTACCTACTTTCGACGCTCGTAAATTGGTCTATGTTAGAGTAAAAAATTCAAGAAAAATATTAGGATATAGTTTGAATAGGACCTATAACTGACAAAGAAACTATATTGATTAGGAACCTAGAATAAAAGATATGAAAATGAGAAAATTGACGGAAAACTAATAAAAAATTGGATTTCTTCTACATAGGAGGAGAGAGAAAATGCTAGCGAGACACGTGTCATCCGGCGGGTGGAGAAATGCATCGGGGTAGACGACAGACACACGTCAGACAAGGAGTGAAGCAAGGCGGGTCTAGTTAGATCGCGACACGCAGCGTCTGCAACCCTCTACTCGACCAACGTGATGACCCGATCCGTAATCCAGCACCAACAGACCCGCTGTCCAACAGAGCCAAACCATGATTTGAACCGCGCCCCAAACCGCCACTCGAATCGGACCAACAATGTAGGGAAGTAATACACATCCAATTTTGTCCAAACTTAAGCCACATCTATGATGGTTTGAATGATAGGTCCTTAAACATAAGTTGCACGTGTTTGTATTTCTTGATCCCAATAGTAGGGTCACTTACTAAGTAATTTTTAAATTACTCAAGTCGTATACTAAGATAATGGTAAATGCAAGTAGCCCCTGTACCGCTGACAACGACATTGCAAATCAAGACCATGACACATGTATAAGATAATAGTATTTCATTTCTAGACTTTAGATTAGTACACCGTGTCTTTACTTTTATCATTTTATTTGTTTTATTTAATATATTTTATTTGTTTCATGACAATATTTTACGATGATGTTTTAAATGTTGATTTCCGCATAAGAGAATATGTTATGATGATGATAGCAAGAATAACATAAATCTAGAGTCGTTGCAGTAAGACATCTAACTAATAGATTTGGATACGAGATACTTTAAGGACCCTCGTACCAAATTAAAAGGTATCTACAACTCAGCCTCCCACGACCATATTAACACTGGAACCATCTTTTTTCAAATTTAAAATAAGATATTTTAATATCTATATATTTAAATTTATATTTTATTCAAATAATAACTCATAAATCTCATTCTAATTTTAAATATATATATTTATTTAATATATCTAATATACATTAATTATTTTAATATTTAATATATATAATACAATAAATATATTTTTTTTTTCTTATCTACTTAATATAAATTTAAACACATATTATACTAATATACTAATTTGAATCTTTCAACAAAAATATATATATATATATATATATATATATATATATATATATATATATATAAACAGTATCTCAAATGAAATTAATGAAGTTCCTAGAAAAAACAAAATGAGAGAGAGATTTTAAATGAAATGGTGAGTTTTTTTAAAAAGAAATTGAGTGAGTTTCAAATATTGTAATTATGAAACCACGAAACGTCGACAGATTAGGATTCAGACCTACTGAGTCTGGACTAGTGGCTCCTGAATTCAAAATTTGTATCATCACATCAATCTTCTCTCCAATCTCGTTGTTGGTTCGTTGTTGATTTAGAGGAATGGGGGATTTCTCCGGAAAGATGAACATCGAGGACCTCTTATCTTATGGCGACGATCTGGTGGCTTTATTGAAGGACCAAAACGACGTTCAAACCTTGAATCAATGTCTCCAACATTTCAACGCCCTTCAATCTTCTTCTCACGATGATTCCCGTAATGTTCACAGCTCAGTTCAAGGTCTATTTTCTCTCTTTCTCTCGAAAAATAGGTTAAATTCGTAATCGTTTCGCGGTTAGTGATTTTGGGTTTTTTTTGGGGGGTGAACGAATTGTGAGAGTTGGTTCCGTATAATTTGTTTAACGAGTTGTTAATTGATTCAGATTATGAGAAGAAAATCGAGGAATGTCGGGTGAAAACAGAGGAGGCGAAAGCGAGAACTGTTGCAGATGATGAAATGGATATTCTTGAAAAGGAGATCGAAGAGGAAGTTAGGGAAGAACATTTGCTCATGGAGGAGATTAGATGAGTATATAATTAAATTTATGAGTTAGATTTGAGATATGATTCTTTCTCCCTAATGTATTTGAATGATTTTCTTCAACACACTTGTCTCCAATCAGATTAATGAGCTAGACCGACAAAGGATTTCTGTTCAAGAAAAGAAGCAGGCAACGAAGAAACTTGAACAACAAGAACTTAGGGCGCAGTGAGTATATATCTAATTTCTATAGTGAAGATGTGACTGTTAATTTAGTAGCTATGAACTAATTCCTGTAAAATTTATGTCTATTTTATTAATGTGCAGTTCTAAATATTATCTGACAACCATAATCTTTATGCATATTAGTGTTCTTCTCGTTAAGAATCACGACTCTCTACAATAGTAGTATGATATTGTCCACTTTGAGTATAAGCTCTCATGGCTTTGCTTTTGCCTTTTCCAAAAGGCTTCATACCAAAGAAGATATTCCTTACTTATAAATCCATGATCAACCCCTTAATTAGCCGATGTGGGACTCCTCTCCCAAGAAAATCCTCAACAATCCGCCCCTCGAACAAAGTACACCAAAGAGCCTCCCTAAGACCTATGGAACCCTTGAACAACCTCCTCTTAATTGAGGCTAGACTCCTTTGGAGCCCTCGAACAAAGTACACCCTTTATTCAACACTTGAGTCACTTTTGACTACACGTTCGATGTTCACAACTTCTTTATTCGACATTTGAGTATTCTATTGACATGGCTAAGTTAAGGGCATGACTTTGATACTATGTTAGGAATCACGACTCTCTACAACGGTATGATATTGTCCACCTTGAGCATAAGCTCTCATGGGTTTGCTTTTGGTTTCTCCAAAGGGCCTCATACCAATGAAGATGTATTCCTTACCTATAAACCCATGATCAACCCTTTAATTAGTTGATGTGGGACTTCTCTCCTACCCATCCTCTAACACTTCTGAAGTAACTTAGATCTGCTTCTGCATTTGAATCTGTGTTCTGTGCTGAGAACAAGAAATTTCTCTTCTCTGGGTATTTGAGATTTGTTAATGCCTCCACACCAGTTTCTTGTGTAGATGGAGGTGGATTAGACAATAACACCAGGAACTGGATTTACAATGTTTACAATTACCATGTTCTTCTTTACTATGAACTTATTTAAACTGGTTGATACTTGATAAGTCGAATCTCGGTAATCTTTAGTTGACATTAACCCGACAATTCTACATCTTCCAAATTGATACACATTTTTGTTCTTCTTACAGGAGGAAGCTTTCAATGTATGCATCTGTCACTGATATCATTCCAAACATGGATGATCACTCCAAAATATCTGGCCGTATCCTTCATCTGAGTTTCTACTCTTCTGTTATACATATATTCTCTGGCTATTACTTTACCTTAACGTTAATCAACTACAGATATTGTGGATAGAAATAAACGGGTTGTGCAGAAGTTTGAATTGGATCCGACTAAGATGTCTTCTTTTGATATATGCAATGACATTTGGAATATGATTAATTCCCCATAGTACCAATGTTTAAAGCAATGATTTCTAAAGTACTGTATTGTTTGTGATAACTTATTGTAAATCACATCTCCATAGTTCTTGAAGATTTTTGATGAAAAGAATGCCTATCTATTCTAGACGCCATTCCATGAAATGTTGCTCATTTCCACGGATAATTGGTTCTCAAGGGAGCCAACTGAACTTGTATTCATTCCACTCATCTCATATGGCAGTTTAAATTAGTTTGATTATGATACTATTTTACTATCACAGGATGTCATTGTATCTAATTATGCTGTAGTTCTGAGACGATATTTTACGGTGATAATACTCATTTGTTGAACAAGCAGCGACCAAGAAAGACAAGATCTAGCCATCATCTTCTAATCATGATATCAGATTCAGTTTCAGTATGTTTCGTAAGATGGAGTTCGGAATATCAGGTTCTATGCTTTCCCCTAATCTTTTGTAGAGAATTAATAGTTGAATTGGCCAATCATGTTGAAGAAGTGTGCAATTTTTAGTACATAGAGAGTGGTAGTTTCTTAGTTTTTGGTATGAGGAAAACATCAGACATTGACCATTTTAACTAAGTTCCAAACTTCGCTCTATCCGAGCGATCCGAGATTACATCAACATACAAACATTAGCATCATCTTATCATAACTCTGAAACTAAAATAGTTATACTCTATAGTTTTCTTCTTGTACTGTTATTTTGAAACAGAAACTAGTATCCATATTTATGACTGGTTTGATCTTGAGATCTCTCCTTGCCAGCGTTTAAGATGTCGCGTTTCTTGGCGGAGTTACGTAGCAAACTTGACTGCCAACATTGTCACTCTGCAGGTAATGGCGGTCGTCGAGCATTATAGACCTGCAAGCATCTGGTGCAGGACTGCCGTTGTAAGCTTTGCAGACATATGCCATGAAGTTTTGGTAGTCCTGATTCAGACAAAAGAAAACAGGTTCATTTCAGAGAATGACAAGGCAAAGAAAGAACAATGATTCAAACTGGCTCAAGTCGAGTCGAGGCTGACCAACCTCTTGGAGAGGCTTATCATTGACAATAACCCATGGAACGAATCGGTGAGGTGGGTTGAGTTGAGTTGTTTCATAAGCATAGCTTTTTTCAAGCTGCATTTCAACGGCTTCCATTATTAGAGTCAAGAAACAGAGAGAAGATGGAGAAGAAGAAAGCAGCATTACCAGTTTTCCATGGCCATTTCTGTAGCAATCTATGGGTATAGCACTCAACTGAGCAATGTCAAAACACTTAGTCCATTCATTGTGTCTGTTTTGCACTGTAAATCCCTCAACACAATGGATGAATCTGAAATGTTTTTCCTTCACACACCAAAAACACAGATTTTATTCATCTTCTCAAGATAGTTACCATTATATTTGAACAAAATTAAGAGAGTTTTACTGTATCAGGGTAAATTGAAATTGTGCACGCTTCAATGGCGTTCAACATACATTCATCTGGTCCATGCTGCACCCAAACAGCACCAAATCAGAATCAGTGAAAAACCATCAAAATCAAGGAGGATTTGGGAGGCATACCTGGCAAGAGAAGGCGCCGTCGGGTTGGATCCAGGCGTTGCCCCAAGGGATCATGCGGAGATTGACGGCGGAGATGAGTCCGTTTTCAAAAAGCTTCACCAAATGGTACACTATGAAGTTCGCACAGAAAGGGCACAGAGCTTCGTAATACACCGACACTGTTACTTTTCCCGACGCCGATGGCGACGGCGATAACAACAGCAACATCAACAGAGCCGTCACGGCGGGGGCGTCCCGTGGGCTAAGGCAACCCATTATGAGGCGACTCAATTGCGGATCATGCCGGAACAAGATTTTGATTGATATCAGCTCTGCTGTTTTTATATCAATAATATCTGACGACAGTGTCGTTGTCAGTTGGAGCCTTTGGTGTCGTTGGACTCTCTCTTTTTCAATTTATTTTTATTTTGCTTTTTCTATCTTTACCCACTTGTGTTTTTCTTTTAATTTTTTATTTTGGAATAACAACAACAAACCAAAAACGTTACATTATCCAAACATATCCATTCCAATCATCGGGGTAAATTATATTTTTGTTTATAGGGTGTAGACGCATTTTAAAATCGTGAAGCTAATGACGATATGTAACGGACTAAAACATACAATATTAGTATTAAAACCAAGCACCAAATGGTGTGTCAGCGAGAGTGGATTGTGAGGTCTCATATTGGTTGGAGAGGGGAACGAATGAATAAAGAATTTCTTATAAGAGTGTATAAACATCTCTTTAATAAATGCGTTTTAAAACCCTGAAGCTGATGGAGATATGTAATAGGCCAAAACGCCCCATATTTGTCAGCAGTGGGCTTAAACTTGAACTGTTATAACAAGATTGATCCTACTTATTACTAGTAATTCGAGAATTTTCTCTTTATACCCTTTATTTTTTATTTTTTAAAAAAATAACATTGCATTAGATACTTAACTTTGTATTAGGGTTACATTATTATTATTATTATTTTTTTTTTTTCCTTCTTTCTCTATTTTTAAAAGTAGAAAATGAAGTACAAATTCTAAAACATAATCTAAAAGAACAACTTTTTTATTTATAGAGACCAAAAAATAATTTGAAATTGATTTTTGGCGTTATGAAAAAAAAAAAAAATGAATCATCTTTGGTGAGCATTTTACGTTGGAATAAACCCTACATGGAAATTTAACACAAATGTGGTATTGTTCCACACACTTAATATTAAACTAGTACCCATTTTAAAGTATCTCCGTCTTAAAACAAATTTTGAAACCTTAAAAAATAAAGGATATTTCTCTTATAGTAAAGACAAATGGTTATATGAACACGACTCTCTACAATGGTATGATAGTGTCCACTTTAAGCATAAATTCTCATGACTTTGTTTTGGGCTTCCCAAAATGTCTCGTATCGATGGAAAGAGTATTCTTTATTTATATAAACGCGTGATCATTCTCTAAATTGGCGGACGTGGGAATTTCATCATCCAACAATATGTAATAAATTCTTGAATTTTTAATTTTTTTTTATTAATTAAAAAAAAAATCAAAAGTGGTTTAAATGTATGAGGCCATAAATATTGGAGTTTTTCCGACCCAAACATATGGGTTAAATTGGGAAGGCCCACGAACTCCGACATATCCGACCCGGCACACAACCCGATAAATATTTTATAATAAAATTCCCACCGACCTTAAATTTAAATATTTGATAAATATCCACGCGTCGAATTATTATTCGCTAAAAACAATTCCCCATCCGACAGAATTTTACCAAATACGTGTAACCTGAAAAGAGCCTCCTTTTGTTTAATCATCACTTGCAACGAGACGCTCGTCCATTCCTCTGCAACTTTCTGGCTATATAAACAAGAAAGTTCCATAATTTCATCGAAACAGCAAAAAAGATTCGAAGATGGAGGAGGGAAAAACAGAGGAACTGTCTCAGAACCTCACCCAGCAACGCGGAGGTGAAGAAGAAGAGGAAAAGGCAGGTGGGTTTCTGAGGAATTTCATTTCGAACATGGTGTCTACTGAAGGAAGTGAAGAGAAGAAAGGAGAAGTGGAAAAGGAAAGTGGGGTTGTGAGTGAAGAAAAAACAGAGCAAGGGAAAGGAAATGGGTTTCTGAAGAATTTCATGTCGAACAGAGTATGTGAAGAAGAAGAAGAGGAAGAAGAAGAAGAAGAGAAGAAAAGTGGGTTTCTGAAGAATTTGATTTCAAACATGGTGAATGCAGAGGAAGGGAAAGAAGTAAGCAATGTTGTGGATTGTGAGAAAACAGGGGAAGGGGAAAGTGACAAAAGCGGCGGCGGCGGTGGCGGCGGAGGAGGCGGTGGCATTATAGATAACATTGTGTCCCACTTGCCTGCTTCACTTCAAGGTGGGTATGTTTATAAGGTAAAGATTTTGAATGTGTTAATTTGAATCTGAGTTGTTTGGGTTTGTGATGAATGAAACAGGGGATGCAGTGACCACAACAGATGAAGCTGCGATGCTGATACACTCCGTTATCCATGAATGAACTGTTCCAATGCGTTCATTGTTCATTGTTCATTGATCATTGTTCATTGTTCATAGGAGTGTTTGTTAAATTTAAGTTTGTGTTCCATTTGTATTGGGTGAGTAATAGAAATCATGTATTAAAAAGTTTCTTCAAAATAATTATTTTTAAAAATGCAAAAGAAATTCTTATGAAAATCTTATCATTGCACGTCCTTGAATAGAGAATCTCTATCCCGATCCTTCCAATAATAAAGGTAAAATTTAGTGAGAATAGAGATGAAAAAAGTTTTATAGTCTCTACCTTACCTTGTAGACATTTCTAAATAAGAGAAATTTCAATAATTTTTTATATAAGTAATGTCATGTCGAGAATTAGAAGAGAGCGAGATGTTGATATGTGGAAATCACTGCAAGGAGCGTAAGATTCAGATTACCTTGTTGATCGAATATCTCAAAACAAAAACATTGTTTGAGATTCGAGAATCACTCCACAAGCAAGATCGATCACGTGTAGCTTAAATGATTCTTATTGATCAAATATCTTAAGACAAGAACACTTTATTGAGATTCGAATCACTCCACAAGTAAAATTGATCATGTCGAGCTCGAATGATTCTACATGCAACCTAAACTACTCAGAATTGCAAATAAACTTAGTCATGGGCTTAAAAAGAGCACAAATGCTCATTTTACTATATTTTCTAAGTCTACTTACAAATATAACATACATAGCTTTATATAGTCTCAAAATGAAACTATTAAAGACATTACAAGGGTCGTAACATTCTTACTTAATGACCATAATTAACCATTACGTAATTCTAACCTAAAGTAACTAAAAGTCTTAAAATACATTCATGAAATACAATAACTCTAAATTATTCTAAATTATAATCCACCCAAAATGTACTATTTGAAACTTCATTCTTCTTCAATGCGGCATGAATTGAAATATCTTTTGATAATTTCAACAATATTTTCTTCACATCTTCATGGAAGTATATTGTATGATTGACGTCTCTTGGTTCATATCAGATGTAGTGAAGAGCTTGAGAAGCACGCACTATTATAGATAGATGAGATCGCATCGGTAGGTTTGGATGAGATCGGAAAGGTTGGGGGGCAAGGGATGGGTCTCAAGATGAATGACCATTTTGTCCCTAATCGAATTACGTTAAGTTTGGAGAAGGTCTCAAGGTGAATGACCATTTTGCCCCTAATCGAATCCACCCCATGGGGGCAGTGATGGAAGTTGATGGGATATTTGAAGGTAATGGGAAGGGGAAGTGGGTGATTCAATCCATCATTTCATGTCTGCCCCTAACCTAACCTAACCTTAAAAATGGTAAATGTTTTTGAAGTTTGTGTTTCTTACCATTCTTTATTTTTCTTTCTCGTTCCCATTAGAGGCTGACTTTGAGTTCACCAAACCTTAAAACTCATATGTCAATCACTCAAACTTCCATTCCATCCAATGGAGAGGAAGATATATGGATAAAGCCATGGAGAGGAAGATATATGGATAAAGCCATGGGGGCAGCCGCCAATTGGTGAGACGTCAAATTAAGCAAACTCACTTCGGGCCGCACATCATCCATTCATCCTTAACTATCTTATTCTTAAGATAAGAGTCGTGCTGTGAGATCTCACATAAAATGGGAGAGGAGAACAAAATATTCTTTATAGTGGTGTGGAAATCTTTAAAAACTTTGAGGGGAAGTCGGGAGGGAAAATCCAAAGAGGACAGTATCAGTTAGCGGTAGGCTTGGACTGTTACACATACATTCTTATCTTCTCAGTAGTCTCATCTTCATCTCTATTACTTACTCGAGCTATACGAAGAACTCCACAATTTCTTGTAGGTTATGTAAAACAAAACCAAATTTAGCCGAATGGGAGCCTTTTAAATCTAACTCTAAACCATGAGGTTGAGAAAAGAGATATAGTTTATGGTATGATGACCACTTCTAATAATTCTAATAAGTTATGGAGTTGTGGTTATAGACAGGTTCATTATAGAGATAAAAGAAGCCTTTTGATGAAAAGAAACAGAAGTATCGATATATATATACACACGTATAGAGAGAACACTACCACACACCACCACCACATATTGAAAACAGACTTTTTCATCTTCTTCTCTGCACACACCGCCATGGGTATCACTTAAAGGCTACTCTTTGATTCATGTGTTTCCTATGTTTCTATTAGAGGATGAGAAGAGCTTGGATCCAAACCGATTTTTATGCGTTACATTTAATAACACAATCCTTTTCAGGATAAATGTAAACTTAGAATTCATTTATCTTTAATGCTCAATAGTTTTAAAAGGTGATATTCCATCTCAGTTGTAGAGGGAAACGAAGTATTGTTTATAAGAGTATGGAGAAACCTCTCCCTAGCAAACGTCAACCTTAACAGAAAGTTCAAATAAGATAATATCGACTAGAGGTGGGCTTGGACGGTTACAAATGGTATCAAAGCCAAACACTAAGCAGTGTGCCAGTGGGATGAGATGCTTGGGCTCTCAAAAGAGGTAGATTGTGAGATCTCATATCGGTTGGAGAGGGAAACAAAACATTGCTTTAATCTAAATATGAACTGAAAAAAAAAAGTAAGAGGAGCTTAGATTTGAAGTAAACCATATAAGTTTTATTGTCCTAACCGTTCTCGAGAATCTTTTAAACTTAACTTTCTTATAAAGAAAGATGCCTACGAACTTTCTTGTTGGTATTTTTTAGGTTCTTAAAGCTGTAAAAGTTGACTTAAAAAAAGAAAAAAAGTGGTGATAAAATCTTATGGTTCATTTCCAAATGAGAGTTATCGTAAGAATTTCAATAAATAGTAACCTAGTATAACTTAATTAATTAAAATATATATGTAACAACCTATGCCCACCGCTAATAGATATTGTTGTCTTTGGGGTTTCCCTCTCGGACTTCCTCTCAAGGCTTTAAAATGGGTCTGTTAGGGGAAGGTTTTCACACGTGGTTTGTTCTCTCCAACCAATGTGTGACATCACAAGTTTAGTATAATTCTTAAGACTATATTCTTAAGAAAAATGCCAAAAATTGGAATTGTACCCACATGGTATAAACACCAGATGTTGCACAAGCAAAAGACTAATCTGATTCTCTCCAGATAATTAAGGATAAGATTAACACCCAGTTCAACCTACAACCTCCTCTCATTCATCTTTTTTGACATAACCCCACAATTATTCCCTACAAATTGGTTGAACAAAGATGAACAAGCTTTGAATCAACAGGAATGAACTCCGCATCTTTCTAGTTTAAAAAATAAAACATGCTCTGTGCCCATTTGTTTCAATCCCCTGTTAATGCCAATTTCAATCTACCATGACAACAACCGTCTCGCACTCTCCCGATTATCGCCCCGAAATTTCAGTAATCCCGCCCACCCGCGACGGCCTGTCCTTCTGGCAGTTCATGATCGCCGGATCAATTGCAGGGTCTGTCGAGCACATGGCCATGTTTCCAGTGGACACACTCAAGACCCGAATCCAAGCCCTTGCCGGATCATCCACCCTCCGACAAGCACTCAGTTCAATTCTCAAATCGGAAGGTCCGGCCGGGCTCTACCGTGGAATCGGAGCAATGGGTCTCGGAGCAGGACCTGCACACGCCGTATACTTCTCTGTATACGAATTCTGCAAACAAAGATTTTCGATTGGGAATCCCAACAACCCATTAGCCCACGCCATTTCTGGAGTCTGTGCAACGGTGGCGAGCGACGCCGCGTTGACGCCGATGGATGTGGTGAAACAGAGACTGCAATTGAAGAGCAGTCCTTATAAGGGAGTGAGGGACTGTGCGAGGAGGATTCTGGTCGAGGAAGGAATTGGGGCGTTCTATGCTTCTTATTGGACTACTGTTTTGATGAATGCCCCGTACACGGCTGCCCATTTTGCCATTTATGAAGCTGTGAAAAGGGGTTTGAAGGAGGGCTCGCCGGGAAGCGAAGGCGGGGAGGGGTTGGTTGTCCATGCTACGGCTGGTGCGGCTGCTGGGTCTCTTGCTGCTGGTCTTACAACGCCATTAGACGTAGTGAAAACGCGGCTGCAGTGCCAGGTAATGTGTGGTTGTGCTTCTTGTTGGCCTCGAGAGGGGTCCTCTGTTTTAGCATGGCTAAGGCAATGGTTTTAGTGTACAAAACAGGGAGTGTGTGGGTGCGACAGATTTTCAAGCAGTTCAATAATATCTGTGGTTAGGCATGTGGTGAAGAAGGATGGGAAGAGCGGGTTGATGAGAGGGTGGATTCCAAGGATGCTGTTCCATGCGCCTGCTGCTGCCATTGCCTGGTCCACTTATGAAGCCTCAAAGACATTGTTCCAACACCTCCACAATTAGAACAACAATTAGAACAACAATTAGAACAACAATTAGAACAACAATTAGAACAACAATTAGAAGCTGCATGCAACCATTTAAACCACTTCACTCATTAGGAGGACTGAAGAAAGAGGTTACTACTACAACTTACACTTGTATTGTAATACTAACTTTTGAATTATAGATATGTGAGTGAAGGGTGTAGATTGAGAAATGACAAACACTCGTCTACAAAAATGTAATACATATTGAAAGAGAACGTCAACTGGCTCGGGTTTGGCCTGATGGACTTGTCTTCTTCACCTAGTTTCTAGTGCGATTTTTTCGATCTCCTTTCTCTCTCTTCTCCATGGTCGTTTCTGACGTCTTTACTCGTTGTTTTTCCTCTTCTACCTCTTTGTTGAGCTCTTTGCTTTCTTTCCAGACTTTTGGGACTTTTAGATGCCTAAAACGACAAATCCATGAGCCTCTCAAAACCCACAAATTGAATCTAGATTCTGATGACACACGACGTTAATACCACTTATAAAGCTTACTTCTCGTGCATGTGGGATCGTCGGCGGTCTTTTACGTGACGTAAACCAAGCGTTTCATGTCGGTTTTTGTGGGTTTTGCCTTGCTAGAATATTCTTGATTTCCTCTCTCTAGCTTGTGTTTTTCTCTCATCTTTTGTCTTGATGTTTTCCTTGTAGGTGCCTATGGTTGAAGGAGCAAGTAGGAGCGGTGTCGGTAGTGAGGGGGCCTGGTCTCGATTGAGGATGCCCCGGAATCCTTGCGTTTTCTAGCGACTCTGCTGAGTTATTTTTAATTTTTTCTTAATTTTATTAAAACCTATGGACGATACATGTCTTTGGTTGATTCATACGCGTTCTTTGGTCGACTGCTTGACACTGGCTCGTAACTTATTTGTTGTACGCCTACACAAGCCCAGAATCTAGTGAATCTTTTTTGTTTTGATTTTCAAACTTTCTTCTTTCTCATTTTGATATCATCTAATTCCTAATCTGAATTGATTAGGCTTCTTCACCAAAATTGTAAACCACATATCTAGTGCTCCCTAAGTAAATTTTAGCCCAACACAACCTAATAAACTCATTCAAACTTTCGAAAAACTACAAGTCCTTACTGAGTTTTGAAATCTCCAAGAACTTCAATTTCGAGACATTTTTCACCAAGTCGAAACAAGAAATTTGTGATGTTTCCTCGCCTAAAACAACATACTCAAGAATCAGTTCCTAAATACATCTATAACTCTCGAGTTTTCAAAAAACAATAACCCAAGACCAATTACCTCGAGTTTTTGGACAATTCTTGGCCGAAATATTTTTCTTGGTTTCCTAATAATTTTCTAAGTATTTTTCTCTTCAACCAAATCCACCATAAAACTTTAAAATTTTAAAAGAAAAGTTGAAAAATTCCATCCTAAGTTGAGTGTAATACTAGTTTTGGATAAATCTTATATCATATAAGAGTTCAAGCTCAAAACATAAGGTTTGGATACATCATATTGTCAATATGATATATATGGCATAAATACAAGATGCATTCAATAACATGTTTTTTCTTTAAAAAAAAATTATTTTTGACTCTACCCGACTCTTTTTTGCACCCTACATATTATTAGTTGTTTATCGGACTTGAAAGCACAAAAAGAGTAAGCTCGAAAGAAATGAGCGGCAACAAAATCAGTTGCATGCTGGAGCTGCAAAATGAGGGATGAGGGATGACAATGAAAGCAATGGACCAACTAGCGATATGTATAAAATTGTTACTCTGACGATAGACAACTACAAGACTTGGTATGTCTCCCTCTTTCGTAATCTCCAATGAATTCTCATTTAAAAGGACCGTAGAACTTTTGAGTAAACCATCTTTTGGAGTCAAATGATATTCCTCTCTCGGTGAATCTATACTCATTCTTTGACCTTTAGAAGCTTTTCTCTTGCTCAAACTCAAGATGATATTATTTTCAACATCAATTATAAAGTCGGTTGCATTGCTCAAATTGATAATCTAAGCAATGTGGTTTCTTGCTCAAATTGATAATCCATCGCCAAACTCCGGTCATGTGATTTCTTGCTCCGTTGTCAAGGTACCACATGTTGGTCTCCACTCGGTCTTCTCCTTTTGTGAGAAGGTTCGCCATAATCTTCTCTTTGTTGAGCATCAATAGGTTGGGTATCTTTTCGGCCAACATTAGTGCGGGCTCTTAATCCTGCGTGAGTGTAAGCTTTTACTCCTCATCGTGCTTCTTCTTGAGGAACTCTACTACATAGTGTCCATATTTTTTATTACAAGAGTAACACCTGATCATACTATTGGGACAACGAATTCATGAAAGTAGACTAGTCATTGCTCTTATTTGACGTCATCCCGATCTATTTATTATTGTAGTGACTTTTCTTTTTTGAGAAAATATTTAAAAATACTCTACAATTTAAAACATGCATGATAATATTCCAATAAAACATTAGTCAAATAAGTTAAAGTACAGCCCAGGACCCTTTCCTACAATTTTGGACCATTCTAGAGCGGTTTTTTTTACGTTTCCATAAATGATTGGGGTCGGAGACCTCTATTTGGTCAATTCAGTTCCTTTTTAGCCAAACGTTTATTTAGTTGACACCATTGGATGAGTTGAATCGTATTATATGCCCTAACCTGATGTCGTGAGTTTCCACCGATTAAATTGGGCTTCCATAAAAAAAATTGGGCTTCCACATAGATTAACTTGATGTCGTCAATTCAGTTCCTTTTTAGCCAAACGTTTATTTATGTTGTGTTATGCTAGGTTCATAATCCATGTTATTATGTGATTATACCATGTTGAAGAATCATGTTTATGATATTGATAACGTATAATGCATAAACCTCCATACACCATGCCATATAAGCTATGTTATGTACGAAAGATTTGACATGAATTATGTATGCATGATTCATAGACTCATTATATTATAATTGAATGGAGATTTGACTTGTATCATAAACCTATGTCATGATTTTAAGCCATGGGAACCTAATGCATTTTGTGCGTCATATACGTAAAGATACTTCTCCGTTATGATTAGTACGGATGCATACCTTATGAAATTTATGTTTGTCATGACGTTATGCGGGCCCCTTCCCTTTGTGGTGTCCTCGAATCTGTTAGTGAGTGCTAGCCCGACGAGCCAGGTTTACGTATACGAGCCTGCCTAGTGGGTCCATTTTTGCATGCGTGGGTCGTACATAGGGAAGTACCACACATACAACCTTGCCTAAACCAAAAGGCGGAACCAAAGGCCCCTCTTATATGGCATGGTGCATGGCCATGTGATCGAAGTTAGGGTAGTTGCTTTCCTGTTTGTTTTTTTGAAATCTCTAGATTATATCAGGACATGTTATCTAAAATCACGATGTTTTACATCGTTTATGAAATATTTTTAATGAATTTTCTGAACATAACAGACATGTCATGATAGCCATATTTTTAATAGAAAAATAAGATCGCTACAGGCCCCATAACTTAAACATCATAAAGGAGGTAGCGACCCTCAATCTAGTCAACTCTCGTATACCTTTGTGGTTCATTTCTCTCATCCAACCAAGATCACGATTAAGGAGTGATTTGTGACCCCTAATTGCCCTGGGCGCTCATAAAGTTCTCATAGAGTACATGCATTTTCAAGGCTCAACCCTAATTCTACCGACTTATAAAGGTACTAGCGCTAACCTCTGTTGTGGTAGATTCACTAAAAAGAATTAATTTACAAAACCCAAAAAGTTTCCACCGAGTACAAATAAAGCATAGACCTTTCTAAAACGCTAATTGAACCGTGGATAACCAAACCAAGTTATAATTAGGGGATGTTAGGAAACCTCTAATTGTATTTGTATAAGAGTATAATCATTAAGATATCGTCACAAGGGACATATTATAATAATCTAAACATGGTTATCTAGCCAGAATTTCGATTTTTTTCATCATTTTTTCAATAAGCCAAAACGAGTGAAAAAAAAATTGATTCGATTAGACTATACCGATCATGCCCTACCTATAGCCACTCGATTTTGCTCCCACACGTGTTTGTTCGACCATTTTCTTCCCTCAAGATTGGAATACATAAAATACAAGTTGAAATATTTTAAAATTAAGATTGTAAAAAAAAAAACATAATAAAAATAAGAAAGTTTTAAGGAGTTTTTGATTGATGTGACATGGTAGGATGATGGGCATTTTCAATGGTTCAATGGTTCAATGGTCCCTACTCTTTAAACACAACAAGAGTAGGGGCATGACCCTATAACCACTACCATCTAACAATTTATATAACTCACATGCCTTTCATCCTTTGCTTTCAAATTTTTGGCTCCCACCAATACCTTCCTTTCTCCCAACACTTATCAAAATCATTCCTTTTTTTTTCTTTAATATATATATCATCGTGTTTCTAAAAAATATCTTTAATTTTCAACCGTCTTAATAAAACTCTTCAACCTTTTGAAAAAAAAACATCCTTAAACGGTCAAAAACTGACCACTATTATATTTCGGAAAATATCGTGGAACTTAAAAAAAAATGTTTAAAAAATATCATTAAATTAAAAAATTATATTTTTATTGTAAAAGGCATGTAATACTCTTAAAAAATTAAAAATTTTAAATTTTTTTTTGTACTAAAGGTATTTTAAAATTTTTTTATAAAATGTTTGAGAGTAAAAATAAAAATTTGAAAATTATATTTTGTGAAAGAGAAGAAAATATTTAATTTATTATTTATCATAATATAGTAATTATGACATTTTAAGGGGTTTAATAATAATTAGAAAAATAATTACAAAATTTGTTGATCTTATCCTTTGGATTACGCTTTATTCAGCAACTTGATTGCCTAATTGGCACTCTGATTACCAGTTGTCATGCCTCTTGCGCACCTTTTATTTCCCTTTTTTTATTTGCTAAATTACTTTTTTGTCCTTTTTTCTTTTTCTTTTTCTTTTTCTTTTCCAAAAAGGATTATTCTTCTCTCCCTAATTTTAATTCATCCTTGATGTAGAAATTAATAATATTACAGAAACGCTATTTAATTATTTCCACATTATTCATACATATATATATTTAAACTTTATCCACCGTTGAAGTCAAATAAACAAAATAAAAGAAGGGTATTTTCGTCATTTCATTCATCCAAGTTGCCCCTCTTGCCCCCTCTCATGAACTTCGCTTAAACTTCTTCCGATTTTGCCTACCAAAGTCTGACCATTACGGCCGCCTCCGATTTCATCTCTATTTAAATTCGCCACCGGAACAAAAAATCCCCCCACTACCCTTCAGCCGTATAATGCCTCCCAATCCCCCTAAATCTTCCGCCGCCTCTCACCGGGTAACGCCTGCTCCCTCCGCCACCGCCCCCCCGGGGTTTTTCAAGCGCAAGATTCCCTCACGCGCTACCACAGTCCCCGATGCGGTGGCGCGTTATCACAACCACGTGGTCTCCTCTAACCAGTGCTGCTCCGCCGTCGTCCAAGACATCGCTGCCCCTGTCTCCACTGTCTGGTCCGTCGTCCGCCGTTTCGACAACCCACAAGCGTACAAGCACTTTGTCAAGAGTTGCCACGTCATCGTTGGAGACGGCAACGTCGGTAGCCTCCGTGAAGTCCACGTCATTTCCGGTCTTCCAGCAGCAAACAGCACCGAACGGCTAGAGATTCTCGACGACGAACGCCATATTATGAGCTTCAGCGTCATCGGCGGCGAACATCGCCTCGCTAACTACCGGTCTGTCACGACGCTCCACCCGGAAGGAGACGACACCGTCGTAGTGGAATCGTACGTCGTCGATATTCCGCCGGGAAATACGGAGGAGGATACGTGCGTGTTCATTGACACCATCGTTCGATGTAACCTCCAGTCGCTGACTCAGATCGCCGAGAACTTAACCGGCCGGAACCGAGCGGCGCCGCCGTGAACG